GTATGAATGCATTTCACTCTCTAAACAGCAATTAGCCTTTAATTTATGTATATTTATTAGATACCTATTTCTGCACTAGGCAGAAATTAATTATGGTTAGAAAGCCATTGTACACACAGTTTCTTCCTTAAAAGACCAAAATCTAATAGCTAAAATGAGACTCATTCAAATACTTATCTGTTAGGTGTCGTACGTATGATATAACGTAGCAAAGTATTGAGAGAAAAATGTCGTTATTAACTAGAAAAAGTCAATAAAAGCATTATGAATTAGGGCAATTAATCTAAAAATAATATGCCAGTTATCGACAACTATAACTTCACATCCAATGATCAATACTTGTGATTTTCCTCCTTAAAGTTTATAAGGATTGAGAAATGTGATTTGTGTAGCTCCATTTCCTTTAAAGCATTAATGCCTTCCTTTTCTCATTACATGTCCTTGAAGTGTGCAACGATATTTCCTTTAATTCCATGGATGATGAATTACACCAAATCTGCAACCATTATTTTAACCCTCAAAATGCTACTAACATTATTACATACTAAAAAATTCTCAGTAACGATTTCAGGATTAAGAAGAGAAATTTCTTGGATAAAATCTTCTAGTCATCATCTTTTCTTTGCTCTTAATTTTGAGTTTGAACAACTTTCATGTTACAGATGGAAATGTGATGATGCATGGACCAAATGAAGCCAGCAGAACTCTTTTGCTGAAAGAAACTGTATGAATTAATGAATGGATGGATGGGTTATAATGAACAAATAAAAACTAATATAAGAGAAAGCCGTAGGCCCCGCAAGAAAAGTAAATGCAAAGTAAAGGTATTTGACTACCTCAAATAGGGCTTAATTAATTTTAGATTAGTCAACAGTTGTCAATAATATCTAAAGTCTGGAGATGAGCATACTAAAAACACTAAAATTTGACATGAGATGCTGATGGTGTACACATTACTACTTTTTTATGAATCAAGTGTAAGTGTGGTCTGTTCTTCTACCAAACAAATCCTGCAGCTTCTGCTTTACCCTCCCATTCACAGCACCTACACAAAGGCAGCAGAATGCCAAGCCACAAATAAGAAAAATTGTGCTGTGTCAGAGTAAAACTGGTCATGAAGGACTGCTGTCAGAATCACTCAGGACATAACAGGGCAACTTTGTGAGTGCCTGAGCTGAGTAATCTAAAGAAAATCAACTTTCGAAATCAACTTTTTAATGTAAAACTCCTACACAGAATAACAATTTTAGGTGAAAAAATAAACCTAGTTCATTTAAAATATACATTTCAAGGCTTTTAACAAAGGAAGAAACACATTCCAAAGAACAAAACTCATGGCTATACATGAATGCTTCCATTTCAGACATGTTTTCGTCTTTTTCAGCAACAATGGGCAACACAGCATAAGGCATCAAATGCCTGTGGACAAAGGGTAAGGAGGCAGCCAACAGGAAATCTCAGTTAATTAAAAGAACTGAGATATATTAAAATGTTAGAGAATATGACATACTGCTGTGTAAATATTACCCAGGTCTATGCCTTTCAGACTGAAGGGAGAGACTGTATTTATTGGACTCTTCTGAGTCTGCTTTGGCACACATAAGCTCTGCATCATGAGCAGAGGTAAGGTGAGTTTTTCGCAGGTCAGAGCATTTTGTTAGGGGAGCACGATCTCCAAAAAGCTACTTTTTTAAATTTTTCTTTTTGCCATGTTGAAAAACAAGGTTTGCATTGATAGCTGCTTCAATGGCCTGGGTACAGATAGTGAGGAAATATTGACAGAATCCCCAGCACCTTCCATAAGGAACACATAGCTTACATTAAAAATTCACAAGATTTCAAAGCTATTTTTTCCTACTTAGCTAACTAAGTTTATCCTGATTCCCACACTTTCCTTCCCTGAATGCTAGGCCTCCTGTATCATCCATCATACATGAGTTTACCCTCATGCTACCTTTTCTAAGGCCAGGGTGAGCTTATAAATATTTAGTTATAATTCACTGTGTGACACTGTTAAACAAGTCACGACAAGTTCTTATTGCATTTATTCATTTATACATTATTGTCTGGGAAGTTCCTAGAATAAAGAGCCTATATCCAGACATGCTTTTTAAAAATTTAATACAATCCTGAGGAAAGTAGTGAGAAAGTTATTCCCTGGAAGAAAATTAAATAAAATCCCTACTTAAAGTAGTTAAATAAAATACAGTACATATGAATATTTAGTAAATTATTACACATATGTATCTTGCTTTTTGGTAATAAATTTGAACAAACCCAGTTTCTTTTCGGCAACTGATATCCAGTAAGTTAACAATTCTGCCCTTTTCTTTCCATCATGGAATTTCTCACACTCTGTAGAACACTAAAATTGTATTTTTCTAATCCATTAGGCATTTTTTTTTTTTTTTGCCATTCAGGTACACCTCAGTATCTTAATAAATTGAGCCATATCTGACAGGAAAACTAAAACCCCCATGAACTATATAGCAGTTCTGCCTAAATGTGGATATCCTCTTGTGACAAAGTTCCTTTTTGATGGTTTATCTTTCAGTACAGACATTGGCAACACTCATCACTATACCAAGAAATATTTTTTACGTTCGGAAAAGTACTAACTCTTGTTTCCTTTTTTTTTTTCTTACTTCTTTACAGAGAGATAAGATATAGGCTTAGAGCAAGCCTAGGTCAACTTAAAACACGCTAATTTCGTTATACAGAATTAATGTAAGAAAAATGAATAGTGGCTCAAATTAATTTTAAATTTAATATGTTCTCCTAAAAGTTTGTACAGTTTAAAGTTAGAAAGCTACCATTTGAGTCCAAATCCTAGCTCTGTTATTTACTAACTTGTGACTTAGGGGAAATTACTTGTCTTCTCTATTTTCCCATTTCACAAAATTTGATTAATACTGTGTCATATGTTAGTTCATAGTATTATTGCAAGGGCTGGATGTGATAACACATGGAAAGCATTAAAAGTAATCCCTTTGTTCAAATGAGCATTAAAAGTACATAGTGCTATCGTTACTGTTCTAAAAGAAAAGAATAACTGAGCCACAGATTCATTCTTTAGCACACGCAAATGCTTAAAAGTATTTTGGGAGAGAGATATTAGAAAATGCATCAACTTTCACATAGATAAAACTATAATATATATAAGTCACTTGGTTCACATAGAGCTAAAATTACCTAAAGCATCCTAAAATCATTTCCTTGTACTGCTATAAGTTAAAGAATATATTTCATGCATTTTAAATTAACCAATAAATCATAAAGTAATTGAAGGATGAGATGTAAATTGTAAGATCCAAAGGAAAACAGTTAAATTATGAAGCAATTTCTGATTGATCTCTTTTGAAAATTTCAATGTGCCAGTATTCATTTCAACAAGTATTATCTGTAAATCAAGGAAACAGCTCCTGCAGTAGCACTAGCTTCCCAGCACCACAGCAATGGTGCAATCCTGCCATCTCGTGGAAGGCCTCTAGAACTGCAAGGCCACATTTTGAAAATTTATAAATTAAGTTCAGAAGAGCTGTATCACTTCTTGTGTTTTGACATTTTAAGGTTTAAATCTTGAGAATGGATCTGAGACAGAGAGTGAGCTTATGTGATGTTAAAAGGAAAATTACTTAAAAGTAGTAAAAAAAATTTTTTATATAAAAGAATATGTAAAGTCTCAGCTTTTATATACACTGTACAACTATTAATATAAATTCTTCTCTAAAAAGAAAAAAGAAAACTTTCTGAAAAGAAATGTTTCATAAAGCTTATTTAGCCTCAGTTTATAAAGTCACATCAATTTAAAATTTTTTAAACATGTTCTTTTATGTAGAAAAAAATAACTACAATCATGATAAAACATTCTCAATGGACAGAAGCACAAAAAGAAAAGTGAAATATAATCTAGTCTTTCTACATGTGTAAATGTAAACACATACATCAAAATAATTTTAGTACAATAGAACGAAGATCCCACTGTCATTCATTGTTTCAGATTTCCCCAAGATTAAGAAATGGACAACATGAAATAATGACTAGGGCTTTTCACTAAATATTTCAATATTACCTTACTAATATTTACAACAAAACGATCAGATCTGGGTGACCTAATATTTCACTTGAAACAATTACCTAAAATGCAGATATATTATAAATAGTTTGTCACACATATCCATGGGTAGATGATTTTAAAGAAGAATTGTTAAATGTAACATGAGTTAAGTACACTTCAGAAAAAGAACACATTTGCAAGAAAGTAAGCAAAATGAACTCCAAAATGTCAAACCCACCATAATATTTGTGACACCTGAGACATGAAGGAACCCTGCCAGGTTGCAGTCCATTCTTCATCTCTTCCCACCTCGAGCTCCATCTCATACTATGAGAGGGCTTCATATACACACCTCTATGACTCCCTAGAGTCAAGCTCAGACCACAACCCCCTGCACATGCACCCACACAAACCCTCATCCTAAAAGCAAGCTCTGTGGTTTGGATCAGGAATCTGGTACCTTGCTTAATGAGTTTAAACGTCAGGTAGGAATTCTGTATTGGCCCCCACAGACTCCCCCCAACCCCACTCACACTTTGTGGGAGGGCACTGTAGGAGGAAAGCCAGAGTAGGGTCCACTGAAGGGCATAAATGTGGAAATGGTGTAAGGGTGTTCTACAAAAGGGCATTTTCTAGGATGGGGATATGGTGTGAAATCCTGGTAGCGATGGATACCCTCGTGAGCAGCATTTTTCTTACCTTGTGTATCTTAAGGTCTTGCTCTAAAATGGAAACTAGAAAAGTTCCCGTGAAAGCAAGGAAGGCAGGATGAAGGTGTTTGTGGTGGTGGTGTACTGCTATCTGCCCTGCCCCGTGAGAATCTCAAGTGAAAAATTAACCTCTCTGATTTGTGATATTAACTACAGAGACGAATTTTCCCTTCAAATCACAAATATTTGTCTTTCAGTCTGTATTTTGCAAGAGACGTGAGCATGCCAGGTTTATAGAGCATTATTTCATCATTTGCAGAGATGTTTATATACTCACCATGCTATTCATTTTTGAGGATGAGGAACCCGCTCTCTGCTTTCTTAAACTATTTACTTCTTCTGTATTTCCATCTTTCGGTTTCCAAATCATTCTGCTACTCCCCGCCGTTCCTTCTGATGAGGACCGCAGTCTCCTCTCTATAAATCTTCCTTCACGAAATGGACTGAGGCTACTGGCAAGAACTATTAAAAATAAATTAAATTAACACAAATATTTAAATGGAAGTTTATAAGTGTTCTATTGAAAGATAATGGAAAACTTAGAGTCATTCAAGAATGCTCTATCACTGGGAGATTTTTAAAATTTTAGTGGTATTTTAATTTGCTTAAATATGTAATCTCTTTGAAGGCCAAAGCTTGTGTAGTCATCACTGGCTTTTTCATAGCTCACAATAATCACTAAGAAAACCCTGTCCTTATTTCCCACAAACTGTATACAAAATCTGATCACTTCTTACTACCTCTTTACTAGGATTCTGGACTAATTTCCATCAATGGTTCCTGAGTTACTGCAATACTCCCTAAAACTCTCTTGCCGCTGTCTATTCCCACAAGCAGATTGCTCCACACCTCCAGTATGCAATCTACTTGGCACATAGTAACCAGAAGGGTGTACTTAAACCTAAGGGAGATCCATTGCCATCACTCCTCTAGTCACTTTTCAAATGGGCTTTCAGCTTCCCCAGAATAAGACTTGTCTCTTCATCCTCATCCTAGGGTTCACCCTGTTCATCTTTCTGACACCTTCCACTGGTATCCCTGACCTCCACCCTTCTTATGCCACACTCAGCTTCTTGCTGTTTCTGGAACCTTGCAGCCATGATCCAGCCTCACTCCTTTGACCCAGGATGTTCTCACTTTTTTTCAATTATTTGCATGGTGCACTCACTAGGTTCCTTCAAACCTTTTCTGATATGGTCCCTTAGGTTCCATCCTGCTCATCTTATTGAAAACTGAACTCCAACTTCCCACTTCCTGATCCTTTATTTTACTTTAAATTTGTCCTCAGCAGTTATCACCATGTGACATTTATTTATTTGCATGTGAACTGTCTCACTATCCCCAGTAGAAAGTGAACTTTTATGAAGGTAGGGATTTATGCCTGTTTTGTTCACTGCTATATTGCTAATGCTGAGAACAGGACTAAAACAATATGAATGAATGAATGAATGAATGAACAAACTATTCTATGTAGGCTCATCTATAGTAAAAGACGGGCAGACTCTATTAGGCCAATATAGCAGTTAACCTTTAGAGCCGATGAATAAAAGTTAAATTTCGTTACTAATTCTGATAAATAAATTAAGTACTAGCTTAAATATATTCCAAAAAAATACCAAAAAATTTAGTATTTTGGAACTTAGTGTGTATAGCACCTTCTTTTTGCATCAAGTACACTTATTTAACTAATTTTGAATTTTAAACTTCCAAATTATAAAATTCTTACAAAGAGAACACAAATATTCTCTCAAATATAGGATAGTGTAGTATAATCTTTCTTTGTTGATATTACCAGCTTAATTATTTGTCCAAAAACAGGCCACCTATTATCAGAATTACTTTAATGGGTAAATGGCATATAATTAGGGTGTCTATCAATAGATTCATAATCCCTAAGAAAACTGCTGTCATTCCCTAGTTTTAATAGAGAGACACCAAAACGTACAGGGTTCAATTAGACATTGGGGCAAGTCATCATTGCTAAATAAGAATTAGATACTTCAGGAAAATTGAATTCTGCCCTCTTTTATATCATTTTCATTCTTTTTCTTTTTTTCCCTCTGTTTTTATTAATGTATACTAATTGTACAAAAGGATTTCTTTGTGCTATTTCTTTTTTTTATTATTATTCATATGTGCATACAATGCTTGGGTCATTTCTTCTTACCACCCATCCCCTCGCTACCTGGCAGAAACTATTTTGCCCTTATTTCTAATTTTGTTGTAGAGAGAGTGTAAGCAATAATAGGAAGGAACAAGGGTTCCTTGCTATACAGGGCATCGACTCAAATTGATTTCCTGTGCGTGTGTGTTACCTTCTAGGTTAATTCTTTTTGATCTAACCTTTTCTCTAGTTCCTGGTCCCCTTCTCCTATTGGCCTCAGTTGCTTTTAAGGTATCTGCTTTAGACAAAACCTTTTTGTTTTTGATATGTAATAATAATACCTGTTTATGAGATACGTGTGATGTCTCAATACATGCATAAAATGTGTGATTGTCAAATCAGGGTGACCAAGTACCATTTCTTTTTATAAAGATGATCCAGTCTGAGGTCAATCATTTGCTAGCAATGTGACTTTTTAATGTTATTTATTTATTTTTTATTTATTTATTTTTGCAGTACTGGGGCTTGAACTCAGTACATCTTGAGCCATTCCACCAGCCCTCTTTTTGTGATGGGTATTTTCAGATAGAGTTTTACAGAACTATTTGCAAAACTATGGCTTCAAACCACAATCCTGATCTCTGCCTCCTGAATAGCTAGGATTGCAGGCGTGAGCCACCAGCGCCTGGCTTTAATGTTTTTAATACTAAAAACAATAACTACCATGAGAGTTCTGTGTGAAGATTAAGTGAAATAGTATATGCAAACTTGTGGGCACATTTTGGGCACACATTAAGTGTACAAAAATGGCAGCCATCATAAACATCCTCCTCCTCCTCATTATTCTTTTGTGTTACAGTTAAAGAAGGCAGTCAGGTATCACTAAAGCCAGGAGTATGGATAGGGCTATCAAGTTTAAAAACTGGAAAACCTGGCCAGGTACATAAATGTGATCTTATGTAAAATATGCAAAAGAATTTAAGACAGCTAGAAATTAGTTTATACATTTTAAAACTTTAAATTGTTATGTTTAGAGAGATACTAGTTATATAAGATATATAATTTCATGACTCTTGATAATATATATTTTGAATTAGTTTTTTTTTATTTAATACTTTAGGCTATACACATAGCACGGTATAGTAATTAAGAGCCTGAGTTTTGGATTCAGAAAGTTGTAACTCAGCTGTGCTACCTACCAGCTGACTAATTCACTGACCTCCATTTTCACATTTGTAAAATGGGAAATACCACAAGCCCATATCATAGGGTTTGTACACCTATCAATTATTTGTTAAATTTGTGTGTGACTGCAGACATCTAACTTATCTGCCCTCCAATTTTCTTGCTTATAGAATAGTTTACAATAACAGTAGAAATTTCAATCATTTTAATTTAATCATGTGAAGTACACAGACTAGTCCCTAGGACATAATAAACATTTTATCAATACTGAGAAAGTTATTATTATTAGGAGTAAAACTAACAGTAGCAACAGCAGCAATGATAGTAAAGAAAAAATGAAAGATAATGTCTAATAATGACAATGAAAACTGATGTCTAAAATATTCCAGTAAGAGGTATATATTCAACAATTTCTTTCACCTGAGTTTTATATTAAATAACAATGTTTCCTGGAACCACACTGGAATCTCTCTTCTTTCTCTGTCTCTGTCTTTGTCTTTCTGTCTCTCTCTCATTTTAAATCAAACAGAAAATGACCAAGATTATACATATCAGGCAGGGTCTAGGCTATAAGGACTGACTGTGGTTTTAATTCTTTTGTACCTCAAGATAGGAATGATTTAATGAAACAGTATAAACATTAATAGTAAAAACTTGTTAACATACAAAATAAATTATACAAAAATTTTAAATTATTTTATATGAAATATATCCATTTCACTAACTAGAAAATACCAATACCTATCTGGTGACCTCTAAAAAAGATAGCCCTTATTTTAGATAAAGCCACATTACAATTTCCTTCCACTTTGTTTTGCAGTCAGAATCTTGAGTAACACAACTAAGAAAAATGAATGGTATTACTGAGTTACATTTTCAGCATAATATAACTCAGGTAAGCTTAAAATCAAGCAATGGAAACATTTAAAACAAATAATAATTGAGAAAAACATAGTGTTAAATACAATTTCCATTGATGAAATGGAGTAATAAATCCAAAGAAAAATTGATTCACATAACTCATTACACAAAGAAAATCAGCGTACCTTTGGTAGTATTTGCTTCGTATGCATATGATGGTTTATTCAAAACATGATGATCACCTGAAATGGGTATTATCCTTGAATCTGAAACAGGATGGATTCCTTTAACACGTTCAGCTATTGCTTTATGTTGATCATACAATCCTGTTTTCCTTGGGGAGCTTGTCCTCAACACTGGTTCACCATTTTGCAATACCATACTTTGTTCTCTTTGAGTATCTGCTAGTAAGTGAGTCTCTGAGTCGCTCACATTCTTGACGGGTAGCTCAGTGATTTGCAATAACACCTCCTTCTGATTAGCAGCAGAGGTTTCTGATAAGGAATTAGATTCAGTGCTACATTGACCTTCTAACCGATATTTCCCAGGAGACATAACTGCACAGGACACAGCTCCCAAAGCTTCTATCGTTGGCTTTGTAACAGCAGCAGGATTGGGAGAGTTCTGAGAGGTAGAATCATTGTGGCCAAATTTGTCACAGTGGGATACCATGCTTCCACTTTTGGGAAAGGCATCTGCTTCAGACACAGAATCTTCAGTCAAGGCTAAAAATTCTGAGGGTGTCTGAGCTGTGGTAAGATCAGCAGACAGCAAAGGAGATTGTAGAGAGCTTCCTGCTCGTTCAGTTACATCCACAGAGCAAGATGGAGAAGCTCTTACCAACACAGGTTCCTTTTCTTGGTACTGTGTAATTTCTAGTGAAAATTCAGACTGTTGTACCAATGAAATGGATTGGCTCTGTGGAACCGGCTTAGAAAACTTATAGTGAGATGAAAAAGATTTGGGGAGTAGTTTCCTTGTTGACTGTTTAACAGATCTGTGAGTCTGTTCTTCAGTAAATCCAGAATCATCCCCCTCACTTTTGCCAGAACTTAGACAATTAATAAAGACATTCTTATTAGTTGAGGGCTCCTTTTCTCTTTCAAAATCCTCTGTCAAAGATCGTGTTATCTTCTTGTTCCGTGAACTACTAAAACCAACAGTATGTCTTCCCCTGGTTTTAATATGTTCTTCCAAACTCTGTTTCTGCATATTGCTGTGACCAGGCTGAGCACCATTTGAGATAGCAAGGTTCTGGTTGGCTGGTTCTTGCTTAGGTTCACTCCCCTTCTTATGGTGGAAGCTAATGGAAGGAGCACGGAATAGGCTCCTGCGTTTTCCTGTGCTACCTGAACTTGAGTTAGTGCTAGAAGGAGAGGAACTGTGGACACCAACTGCATTACTGGAAGAGGGTGAAGAAGGAAGAGAATCATGTCTTCTGCTAATACTTCTTCTGAATATTGGTAACCGGGAGACCAGGGTAGATCTTCTTGATCCTGAGTCCCCCATTGGGACTCTAAGGCTTGCTCTGTGATAGCCAACTTAGCAGCCTGGGGAAAGTTAAAACAAAAAAACAAGTCAATAGAGTTCAATTAGAAATAAGACCCAGTAAAACAAAAATATTGTTTTTCAAGACATTGCATAGAATTTGGTTTATACTTAATAGACATGAAAATTCTGATACTTAAGAAATTTTTGGATTTGTAAGTAGAAAAATGATCTGATAATTTGTGTAAAAATCTTAATCATGATGCAGAGATTTCAATTACCAAAAAGATTTAGTCTATTCAAAAGACTGTTAAGTTGAGACACAGATAATTATTTAAGACCCAGTCTTACTATTCACAAGTGTTTCCATTATTTTGTTGTAATTTAGTTGCTTAACATTAACTTTTTATGTTTATCTAGATATAGTAGGCATGTAGCATATGTCATCATTACCCTCTGGGAAAATGCTCGAGCATGGCCCTTCTTGGAGACCATAGTCCTGTTTTACATTATGTGACTCCAAAAACAAGCTATCAACCTGACCTTAAAAGAATCACAGACTAGACAATGGTATGGCCAGGTATTAAAATCTCCAATTGAAGAAAACCACTTTGGACAAATTCTTCTCCTTAGTGTTTTATTTAAAAAGTTTGGAGATAATTAAGCCATTAGTAGAAAACACAAAATCATAAAAGAAATAGAATACAGGTATAAACAAATAAACACGGAATACAGGACTTATGGCTATAATTTGAAGAAAAGTCTTGAATGAAAGCTAAGCTAATTGATAATCCTAAGAGAAGTGAGTGTACCTCCTAAGAGAATCAGAAACATAGAAAAGATTTGCCCCCCAAAAACTGTCAGTGTCTGACATTTCATGACTTTCACCTTATGCCAAGATGTCAGAGATGACGAAGGCAGCAAAGGAGGGGAAGAAGGTGGCAGCTACACTTCCTCAGCTTTGTAGTACAAAGCACTTTTTCACAGATTATCTCTTTTGGTGCTTCTAGCTCTAAAAGTATATATTACTATGGGCATTTTACAGCAGAAACAAAGGTAACTTGCCTCATGTCAGTAGCTAATAAATAGTGAAACAGGAATAAGAAATTAAACATTCCTTCTTCCAAGCCTGGCTCACACTCATCCTGGTATATATTGCATTTACTGGAGTGAGGAGACAAGAGTTTTGCTGCAGGAGGTCTGGCTAGGCCTCCACTGCAAGGATTTCTAGTTCTTATGATTCTAGTTGCTGCTAGTTTTCATGACTTTCACCATATGCCATGATTTGGTCCCTGTTTTGTTTGGCTTTGCTTTTAAATTTCACTTAACTCTTTTTTGGGAGGTAAGGGGATTGTTTCTGTTTCATTTTGTTTCATTTCTTTGGTTCTGAGGATCCAACCCAGGGCTTCATGCCTGCTAGGCAAGCACTCTAACACTGAGCTACCTACACCTCCAGTCTTCATTGAACTTTTTACACGTAATGCCCACTACTCCCTTGCCATATTGAATAAGACCATGTTTCATTGTGCTGGTGTTTATGACCTGCAAACACTGACTAAACACTAACAAGTACATAAAGTTGCAAACACTCCCTTTATTTTCTTTACAGGTATGAGAATTGATCAAGTAAGATGCTTACATTTCTTTGAAGAAGTATGTGATAAAAACTGGGAGTATTTTCTTTCAGGTATACTTCCAAAAATATTTAATACTTTGCTCCAAAGGATATAAAATCTGACAATTTACATTATAAGATTTTTTTATTAGATTGTAATCACTGGATTTAAATTGATTTTTTAAATTGTAATCACTGGATTTAAATTGATTTTTTAAATTGGCTTTATTTCTTAATTGGTAGCTAATAATTGTATTTATTTATGGGGTATAAGGTAATATTTTGATATCTATTTACATTATGGAATGACTAAATCAAGCTAATTAATATATGCATCACTTCACAGATTAATCTTTTTTGTGATAAGAGCATTTAAAATGCACTATTTTAGCAAATTTAAAATACACAATTTATTGATAATAGTCACCCACCGTGTGGTGCAATAGACCCTTACAAAGTAATCTTCCTTGTAACTGAAATTTTGTACCCTTTGAACAACATCTCCTAATCCACCATGACTCCTTCTCCAATTGAAGCCTCTAGTAACCACCATTCTACTTTCTTTGTCTTCAAGTTTGACTTTACTAAATTTACATATAAGTGAGATGTAGCCTTCTGTACTGGTTTATGTCACTGAGTCTAAAGTCCTGCAAATTCATCTATGCTGCTGCAAAATACAGAATTTTCTTCTTTTTTAAGGCTGGATAGTAATCCATTGTGTATGTACACCACATTTTTCTTTATCTATTTATCCACTGGTAGACTCTTCTGTTTGTTTTGTACCTTGGCAATAGTGAACAATGCTACGATAATCTAGATGTGATGATATTTCTTCAACATACTGATTTCAGCTTCTTTGGATAGATACAAGAAGTGGAATTGCTGGATCATATGGTAATTCTATTTTTAGTTTTTTTGAGGAACTTCCATACCAATTTCCATAATGGCTGTACTAATTTACATTCTCGCCAACAGTGTATAAGCTTTCATTTATCTCCACATGAGTTTTAGTTTAAATCAAGCTACATGTAAATTACTTCCAAAACATTTCCGTATTCTTATAATGCTTTAATTGAAGAAAACTTAAAATACAGTGACATTTTAGCTCCTGAGATTTTTCACAAAAGTTTATTATTGTCCTCACAGCTTAGATTTTGTAAAGTAGATACAATGAATAATACATTCTCATGACTATATTCTTAATGTTTGAATTAACATCATTCTCAGCTATGAGTTTTTTCATTCATATATAGCATTTATTTCAATTTAATTCATACTGAAGGATTTATTTCCCAAATTAGAACATTATCAACCATAATGACTTTCAGCTGCTCATGAACCTGTGGACTTCAAAACATTAGCTGCAAGGTATTAATTATCATTATTGAAATATCTTCAAATTTTATGTATATTGAAATACTTCTTGGCCTCTTTAAAAAACACTTCTTGTGTTTGAATCAGCACTAAAAATAAAAGAATGACAGTTATATATCCTTAGCAAGTATTCAAAAGATTTAAGTAAGGAATAATTTTCAGAAGATTATAGCCATCACTCCTCAACTTACACACTTGATGAAAACAGTCAGACTTTCATTAGATACACATAATACATTTAGGTTACTGGTGTTTGTTTTATTTTCTTTAAACAAAAGCATCATAGATTCTAAAAGCCGTATGTGCATTGAGTGGTTTGACCTAGGGTAGATATAAAATATATTAAAGATAAAAATCATCTAGATTTCACTTTATTTTATATGAACTGTTTCCCATTGAGAAGGAATAAATAAGGGAATGATGAGATATCCAGAGATCAGAACTTTCCATATTTTAGAAAGGCTTGATGTGTTCTATATCTCCAGATCCATTATTCCTCTCCTCGTGCTTTGGTCTCTAATTACATCGATGGCTGCACTTTCTAATCAATTTCACCCTTAATGTCAGTGTAGCTATAGGTCCACCTGCTTGGGATGCCTTTCCTGTAACTCTAATGTGTCAAAATTTCTAAGGCAACAACAGGAAACCATCTCTGACTCCCTTCCAACCTCCCTCTTTATGTATCCTCAAAGTTTATCTTACAAAGGGTGACTCTGTTTATCTCACTCTACTATTTTTATCTTTAGATTCTTAATGACAAAGGCTATCTTCTGGTTATTTTGATATCCCAGTTCCTAATAAAATACATTAGTATCTATAGAGTAAATGAATTTCAGAAAAAGAAATTTCAACTTGAGCACATGAGTATTTCAAACATAAACAAACACATCTGTATTACTACCAAGAATAAATTTTATAATTCTGAAGTTAATTATGCTTAAATACAACTTATCCACATTCAGAAGCTTATCAAAAGCCTTTCAAACTATAAAACATTCAGTAATCTGAAATTTACCATTAAACATTTTAAGTGTTATAAAAAATAATGCTGAACAAGTTGAATGAAACCAATAAAAATGTCATCACACCAACTTCAAATATTCTTGATGGATAAATTATAAAATATTATAATTTGGTAATTTGTACTATAATATTATAACTATAGTAGTAAAATATTTTCTTTAAAAATTCTGTACATTTCATGTTTTTATCAAGTTCCAAATAAGGTAAAATAAGTATCTTTTCTCAATTCTTATCTAATCTTTCTTGGTTCTGAAGTCATAGTTACTTAGCTAAAAACAGGTCTTAAATATATACAGGTTTATAACTGTCCATTGTCTAGGGACCATAAACATGATTTTCTTTTGACACATCAAATTTGTTACATAAGCAATGATATTCTTATTATACTTTTACTGACTATCTATCTCCCTTCCCACACATGCAATTGACATTAAAAATTTATAGTTTTAAAATGCAAACTCTACCATTTACAAATTGCACAACCTAGAACATCAGTAATAATTTTTATAGGGCTTTTTAAGGCTGAAGAAGTACTGCATCAGAGAGAAACTAAGGATGCATGGAACGGAGTATATTTACAGACTCTAGTCTTCTATGATGAAATATACACTGATGGTGTATGGAATGTGTTACACGTAAATTTTGTGTCATAATTATTGTCATTATGACACTAATCTACTTATCAAAACCTGTGCTCTAACTGTTGCAATGAAAAATTCACTTAAAATAACATTGAGGGGAAGTTTATAAAGTGAGGTCAGTTTTTAGAGCCCATATTATGAACTTCTGCTAAGTTTTTTTTTTTTGCTAATTTAAAAATGAATAACATTTGAGGTATTTGTGAGAAAAGATGAATAAATTAAATCTATTCCCAGCCATCTTCTTTTTCAGAACAGTGTTCAAAAAGTAACAGGCAGAGCCTAAATGACCACACTAAAAAGAAACTCTATTACACATGGGCAAAATGCAAGAAAGGAAACTGACAGAAAACAAATACTCTCTAGATCATAATTATCAACATGGCAGAAATAGATCATATGTAAGCACATC